GTTTAGAGACCCTTTTCATGATATGCTAATTTTTTGAGACAGGAATTTTGGGTTTTCATGAGCTGTATGCCAAAATCATCAGTATTAAAACAATAAAAGACCTGAAATATTTCAGTTGGTGTGCAATGAATCTAAAATATGTGAAAGTTTAATTTTTATCATTACATTATGGAAAATAATGAACTTCATCACAATATGCTAATTTTTTGAGAAGGACCTGTATACACGCATATATATATATATATAATTTTTTTTTTTTAAAACAAATATGTATATTTTTAATTGAATCACCTGACAGGTCCTGCCATTAAGACCCCTGTGATGCAAGTTAGGAGACCAATAGAGGCCACGGCCATCTGATGGTCACTTCCGGACTGCCAGATGAGTCGAGCGTTCTCCACGGCCTGTTCCGGAAGAAGACCCACCAGATCGTCCCACATCTTTTTGCCCTCATCAGTCTTGCTTTCACTGTCGTTTTGAAGAGCAGGTTTAGGCGGGGCGACTCCGGTTAAGGTCTGCGTGAAAGAGGAGGCCACATCTCCAGATCCAGACAAAGCCACAGCTACAAGGAAGGCACCGGCGAGAAACGCAAGGATTCTGAGCAAGAGCAACCAGGCCGGCGTGCTCAGGGAGTAAGTGTTCTGTACAAAAGAGAGAGAAAAAAACTTGATATGGGAATAGCACTTGGTACTTGCATGCCATGCCTGACTAAAGACGAAATGTGAATCAACAGTAGCTGTAACAAAAAAAAAGAAAGCAGGACACAAAAGAAGCAAGAGAGAACAGGTCTTTCCTTATCTCTGGCAATCACTTCCACACATTTATCTACGTTTTAAGAAAACACTAGAAACAGACTGATCATTAATCAAACTTGATACATGCTACAAATGCAAACCAGGTTTTACAGTTTTATCTAAGCAACATCTAAATTCAGTGCATTTTTCCATGTCAAGCTCCTGGCACCTAATCAAGCTCCTAGTATTCTCGAAGATACACTTCAGAGAGATGTAAAAACATAAATCTTCCTGTATTGTTCATGTCAAGTCCTATGGCTTGATTTGAAACCATGTAAATATATAGAGATCACCACCTTAATAAAGGCTTTATCAGCATCCCGACTGCGTCTGAGCTGGTGGTTGAAGAGCAGAGCCCGCAGCTGTCGGTTCTGGTGTTTGATGTAGTACTCCACTGCCGTCTGGCACGGCCGGCACAACTTGTAGGTCTGCTCGAGGTGGTGCTTATAAACTTCAATCTCCTCATCATAGTTTTCCTGCCATTACGGTGGACATATGGCATTTAATTTTACTGGTTGCATACATGTTACTTGTTTGAGCTGAAGCTATTCACATTATAAAAACAGACTTTAAACATAATACCACATGAAAACTATTTAAGATGCTTATTCCAGCTCAAACAAATATGACTTTAAAGTATTAAAATGTTTAGATGCCTATTGAATGTCATATTGAATTATTTTTGCCTGCATAAAAAGCACATTTAATTAAGCAACGAGCTTTAACCATTGGTTGTCTTGAAATGAAGAAATCAAACGAGTCAGTTATAAACCTACATCATCCCTGGGGATGAACGAGGCCAGCTGCTTAATCTTCAGTGTCTGGTTGTTGTTACACTTCTTGCACAGGAGCATCTGGCAATTGACCCAATGCAGAGACTTCGGTGACTCAGGGACACCGGCGGAAACACCATGGTTGAGATGTTCCATGTATTGAGCAGGAATGGGTTTGTTGTAGTCCCCGTTCTACAGATCAAAAAAGAAGCGCAAAACAAAGACTCACTTGCTTGACACTAAATGTACATTTATAGACATTGGTAAGGATAGACACCATATTGAATTTTATGTGGATGAAAACCATGCTGAAAAAGACCGATTTTGACACAAAGTGTGTGTTTTTGACCGCTCGAGCCCAATAAGGCGCCAAAAAGAACTCAGTTCAGTACTCGCATGAGCAGCGGGTTTATGTGCACACGTTATGAGTGTGTGCTCAGAAACCATCTCTCATATATTGAAATTAGTTTTGCTGCTTATTGCTCTTAAACGGATTAAAATCTTAAAATTAAAACGGATTAAAAAAATAATGTTCAAAATCTTGAACGTTAGAGCACGGCAATGTGCATAACCACGATAAAGACGATAGTCCAAAATCTCTACCTGTTTATTGTGACTACTGGTATATCACCCATCCCTATACTTTAATTTAGCAAGAATGTATTAAGTTGTTCAAATGTGACAGTTAAGACATTTATAATGTGACAAAAGATTTCTATTAAGATTTCAAATAAATGTAAATAAAACTTTCAAGTCATCAAATAATACTGGATTTAAAAAAAAATCTTTTCCACAAAAACATTAAGCAGCACAACTGTTTTTAACACTGATTGATGACAATAATAAGAAATGTTTCTTTAGAATCAAATCAGCAGATTTCTGACGGATCATATGACGCTGAAAACTGGAGTAATCACAATAAATTAAATTTTAAAGTATCCTCAAAAGGAAAACAGTTATTAAAAATATACATACATATAAAAAAATTATGCATTTCATAAATCTCATAACATAATGCCAATACCTCCTGAAAGCCATTATACTGGTCGCAGTATGGACAATCCCAGCAGTTTCTGTTCCCATAGGGAACAATTGTGTCCTGATTGCAGAACCAACAATTCACTTGGACATGACTTGGCTTCTTCCTGTAAAATAAAAAGGGTCATATTTAGAAGAACTGCTGCAAGTTACTATGCCTTATTAATAACAGAAAAAAACTGTAATTCTATTAACATGACAGACCACAACAAGTGGTTCTTCCACTACTGTCTGTTCTGCAGAGAGCGGGGGTAAAAACGCTAACTGCAAAAGCAAGTAAATATATAACCATTAATAGCTTAAAATAAATGAGAAGAGAAAATGCTTCCATATATTTTTATTTGCTGAAATCAAAAGCTGTGTATCCAATCAAACTACAGTATTTTAGAATGTATTCGTCTAATGAATCACACTTCCCCTGAGATTTATACATTTAAAAAAGAAAAAGTCAATTGTATCATTCAGCTTATGTCCTGTTGATAGTAGTCCAGCAGTTCAGTGTTTTTGGTTGCATCCATTTTCATGGGACAGGTAAGACAGTCATTGGAAAATAATGTAAAACCTGAACTTTAAATCTAACAGCACAATCAGTGTTGCAGGACCTGAGACTGAATATCTAACAGTAACATGACCATGACTATAGTTTGATTGATTTTAATTGATTTTTCGTGGACTAATTTTAGAGCTGATAAGGGCCTGATTAAATTGACAAACTCTGCCTGTGATGATAACATCATCAACATCAAGTCAATGGCATATTTTTGAATGAAATGGCAGAAATTTGAATGAATACGAATTCAGGGGAAGCTTTACATATCCTACTGCTCCATAGATAATTTAAAGGTGTAAATGAATACCTTGGTATAGTCTAGACAAAATATGATTTATTCATTAAATATCAGAGCAGAGCATTTGTGTATTACAAACAAAAGCTCATTACAGTTTCTGACAGTTTGATAGCTGAGAAGAGGCTCGAACGTTAATTTATCCTTATTTTGCGGAAGTAACAATAACCGTAGTACTTATGACATTTTTGGTGGAATCTATTAATATAACGGTAATTTTTGGTTTGTTTTAAGGACGAGAACGAAATCTCTAGGGCTAGTTGTACAGCGCGCGCCACTCAATGGCTGCGCGCGAGCACACGATTTTTGCATAACTGATATATGCAAATACTGCTGCTGTGCATGTTAATTGTAGTGAATCGTAAAAAGCAATCGATGAAGTGCACTGTAGTTTATAGCTCTAGCTAACTCGTGTGTTAAAGGAGGCCCAGCGACATCTTATGGGCAGGGTTACAATACCTGGTTGCAATTCTATAGATCAGCGCTCCTCCTGCAGCAATCGCCGTCGCTCCGACACCACCAACTACAAATGGCGGGTATTGTAGTAATATTTGGTTTAAGGCCTCCATTGCAAAACGGGATATTAATAGTAGTGTTATTCAGTAGAACCCACACGCTGGAGTAGGTCATGCGGCACCAGAAGCGCGCATCAATCTACAACATGGTCATATCCAGGTCATGAGTGCGTGTCAAAATAAAAGTTGGAGTTTGTGCAAACATTCTAAACAAAATAATAATAATAATGTAAAACTTAGATATTTTAATATATAATTAAAATATAAAATTATAAATATTGAACTATAAATAGATTAATAGAATAGAAATAGAATTAAATTATGCAATAACATACATACCGGTAGTTTGTTAATGTTAATGAAAAATGCTGCATATTTAACAGTAACTACATTTTTTACTATTTCATATTGTTTATAACTTTTAAAAAAAGTATATACTAATTAAATATGCAGCATTTTTCATTAACATTAAGCCATTAGCTTTATCTCTATTCGACCGATTTCCATCTTTGGAGTTTGTAATTGCTGCTATATGCGGTGCATAAAAATGGACCAGGCGTCTAGCCTGTTCAAGAAAGTGAATTTAAGCAGAAATAGTATATGGTATACAACTGCCCTCTTGAGGCAATGTATGTAAAAGCCATTTATAAGCTTTACAGAGACATTACATCATATTAAAAACTTTTGAACAGTGCATTCTCATCTTTCAATCACCTTAAAGTTGTGTCTAAATTTTAGTATCGTATCAGTAATCATAAATTCAGTCGTAAATTAATTAACATATGATTACATGCTTAAAAGCACGAATGTTGACTACTTGATCATTCTCTTCTGAATTACAAATGATTCATAAGTGCCTCTCACTTTGTGTACAGCATTGTGGCACAAGAGATAAGACACCAACTACTAGTAGGCTCAAAGATCATGTTCTTGTTTTGTAACCTCATGTTGCTTCAAGTAAACAGCTGGGATCCTGGGATTGACTCTTTCTGTCATTTTCAAATTCTTGCTAACACTCATAAACTCATCCCAACAGACTTTAAAAAGGTGCATTTATTTATGTTACTCATTTCAACTATGCATTTCAAACAAAAACAAAAAATAAAACAATTTCATAATTTAATTAAACCAACAGTAGTAGCATATGCATCAAGGCCCTCCTTCTCTGTAAAAGTTGAAAAACCTAACGTACAGTAAACAGATGAAACATTTCTAGCAAAGAGGTGAATGGAATTAATTGGTCAAACTCCAGAATGCTACCAGGTGTCACGAAGCAGGAAAGTATTACAAAATATTGCAACGTGAGCATGTCGGCTCCTAAAAAAGGTATTCTATGCCCTCAGTATCATTTCCATTCCTTCCAAGAACATAAAAACTGGATCCACCAATGATTAACTCCAAAACCCTTGGACATGTACCATATCCTAGATCCAAAGAATTCAATGGACTGCAACAAAACACTGCTACTTATAATAAGAATAATTTAGTTAACTTAAAGTACTATTTGTATATTCAGAGGACCTTTTCTGTACACTGATACAGTATACACAAAGAGCTATGCAATATGCGCCACTTACATAACACACAAACAAGCAAAACAGTTCCGATAATAACAAGCATTCAACTTAAAAATAAAAAAGTTCTTTAAAGTCTTTGGGTAATTCAAAAGAAAATCCCCATCCACGATGGATTCTATTCTGTTCACGTTAGCTGCAGGTCAAAAGTATTTTTTGTGTGCTTGTTGTGTGCAGGTTCATTTGGAGGGTTCACCCAGCAGATGGACAATGAGCTCATATGTGGACAGCACTATGGCTGTGTTGGGGATCTGTCTGATAAGCTGTGGAATGAGTCCTCTGTAAAAAGCCGCGTAGCCCTCTTCCACCGCCACAAGGCGCGCCGTCTGAAAGAAGTACTTGTATTTGCTTCCCTCTTCTCGGAGTCTCGTCCGAATGACCTCTAGAAGACACACCAGGAAAGGATGGTCATTAACAGTGCGAAGAAGAGGTAAAAGTTTCAGCAAATTCTTTTCATTACGGTAATGAGAAATCAGTTTTCTTGAAAATGTCATTACATATACATACATATATATGTATAAAATTGTAATATTGTAAAGTTGTATTCACTCCTCTGATGGCAAAGCTGAATTTTCAGCATCATTACTCCAGTCTTCAGAGTTGTGCTGCTTAATATTTGTGGAAACTGTGGTGCTTTGAATAGAAAGTTCAAAAGAACAGCATTTATTTGAAAAAAAATAGATTTTTTTGTAATAATGTTAAAGTATTTACAGTCACTTTTAATAAATATAATACTATATGGCACAGATAATGTTATGAGATTGTTTTAAATGAAAAAGTTGAAAATGTGAAATTATGGTAAAAACAAAGTGATACTTAGAAATATTAAACTAAAACCGCCAGTAGGTGGCGGCAAGTCACTGTTTTAATGAGTGAGTCGAGTCTATTTTACTAACATTAAAAACAAGAACTCACAGCGTGTATGTTTTTGTTTTAAAGAGCATTTGAGTCTTAAATCAATCTCTATGCACAGTTTGTTTCTATATTTGTTCTTCATTCTAGTGCTAAACACCACTTTTACAATAGTACATTGTTGAGAACGGCAGTAATGTAGAACGATTTGCTATACTTTGCATGCAACCCATCATATGTACACTGCTTGTGTGGATGCAGTCAGTTTTGACCGCAAAAGATGAGATACTTTGATTAGATGTCATGTATTTGACCTTTTACGACACCACAATTTTCCTGTTTTTACACAGTAAGAAATACATGCTCGGTTTTAATGTTATTTTAATGTGGGGTAGAATTAAATGAATGGGAAAAAATTTTGTTCGCGTACCCCGTCACCTCGCATACTTGTTTAGTGGTTGTTTAGTTCGGGTACTACTGCTACAGAGGAAGCAATCCATGTATATATTTAGACAGACTAGCTGATAGGTAATAACAACCTACCATGTGGATAAGCTATGCAGGAGGCGCAACCCTTGGCAAATGCAGCTGCAAACATGAGGCCCAGGAAATCTGAAGCCCCTTTTTCAGTGTCGGTGGCAGGAGTGGTGAATCGACTCTGCGCTAGGTACTTCTTCAACGTCTCATAAATGAGGAAGCAGATCATGGTCTCCGAGATGCCGGCGTACGACGCCGTCAGGCCCCGGTAAAAACCTCGTATACCCTCTGTCTTGTACACATACCGTGCACATTGTAATGCGTTCATTTTCTTCTCCCCACGTTCCCTGGAGGACAAAGAGGACGAAATAACACATTAGCGGACCGGAGGGAATAATATGGAATATTTTACAGAAAACTTCTTGCACAAAATAAATTCAAGCACTTTCAAGGACCTGTATAGATATGTATGTTTATTTTCAAAAACTTTTCAGAGCCTTGAAATCTATTTTTCATATTCACAAACTTTAAAGGATTTCAAGGACCCGTGGGAACCCTGCAGCATGAATACTAAAATCAAGGTCAAAGACTTCATAACGTTCACTTGTAACTTTTTTTTTGCATTGCACAATGTGGTTTGCGTGTAGGGTGGAAGGGAGAATTAAATGGCAGACTATTTTCAGTGTACCACCTGATATAATTCTCCCATCTGACCCTGGCAGCCGACGGCCGGCACTCTTTATAGCACAAATATAGAACATGCTTGCTAAGCCTCGACTGGTGCGTCACGGTGGATATTTCTACTGTAGCAGATTGGATCACATGCTTATCATCATGATGTTTGCGTAACAGGAAGACCGTGTAATGGGTTGTACATCCCATCCTAAAAACTCATTATCCTCAGTGTCTGGGGATGCATTACGTCTCACATGCAAATGGGCCACAACTCAAGGATCTAATACAGATAATGTGTCATGCCCTCATGCAAGTTCCCTGTAAAGAGTAAAGAAGGGTGAAACTACAGCATTAACATACTTCCTCTCAAGCTGCATTCTTGTTTTGACCATCCAGATGGGATTCATCAGGGAGTTTGTGATGAACGCTGAAAGGAAAACAAGGCAATTAGGGATCCAAACATTAACTATTCTTTGTAAGCATTAAACGGTTTGATAAATTTCCCTCTCAAGTTCTGGGAAACGGTATGGGCAACATTGCATAGACGTTCCTTAAACACCTTAAGGCCTCACCTGCAAACCCTGCTGAGGAGATGTGGACGACTGCACTGTTCGGCACAAAGAAGCCATTGAAAGTCTCTTTTGACTTCGAATAAGCAGCAAAATAGATTGCCCTGAAGAAGAACAGAAATAGTACATCAGCGCTTTATTCTGTTGAACTCATCACCCCCTGCTTCCTCTCTCCATGCATGAGATTGCAAAGTTTCTTTTAAAACGAAGAAGGGAAATTCGCACTGAAAGGCTGCCAATGTTTTATCTAGCCAAACAGCTTGCAGTGAGTTCCTGAAAGTGCAGTCTGTTCTCTTTGCTGAATGTCTGGAACAGACCGCACAAAGAACTGAATAAGCACCCAAATCCACTGCCATGATGACTGTGGGATACGATGACTAAACAATAACAGCGTCAAAAAATATTTCTAACCTGGGGTGCGTTTCCCGAAAGCATCGTTAGCCAACTATAGTCGCAAGTTCCGTCGTTACCAATAGAGTTCAATGGGATTTGCGACCAACTTGCGACCATAGTTGGCTAACGATGCTTTCGGGAAACGCACCCCTGCTTAGAAGTAATAGTGATTTGAATCTAATTAAGTGGGCTAGAATGGGAAAAGTATGGCTTTTGTTCCTAAGAAAAATTCTCAATAATAATAATTTATATTTATTATTAATACTACTACTACTACTATACATTTTTTCACTTTATCTTCTCTTAACACAACTTTTTCCAAATTCAAAGTGAAAGCTACAAGGAAAGGTATGGTTATTGTTATGGAGAAATTCTTATACTATTATATTTTAAATAAAAATGTATTATATTAGTATTATTATTATAAAGTTCTTAACACCAACCTTTCCTAATTCAAAATGGAAAAAAGCAAAGTATGGTTACTGTTATGAAGAATTTTTTTTATAATAAAAAATAAAATTCTCAGAATACTAATAATATAATTTAAGAAATTAGTCACATTTTAAACTAGCTAAAGAATAAAGCAAGGATTTAATTACTTTTCATCTTTTACCATCTTTTTCTTGTTAAAAAATATGTTTTTGTAAAAAATATTTTTATTACTACTGGATAGAATCCAAAAAAACATTTGCACTTAGTCATAAACTATATCATTATTATTTTTATGACTTGTCAATATTCATGTCACTAATCTGTTGCGGCAAACAAAGTACTGTCATTTCACATGTTCATTTTACTACTGGACAGTCTCGTACCAGGAAACAGAAGACGTTTATATTTAAAATGACCTCTGAGGCTGACTGGGAAAGAAAGCCACTCTACAGGTTAACTTTGATCAAATTTAACCATGACACTAAATTCTTAATCTTGATTTTCAGTTTCACAAAACTGAATTGAAACATTACCTTGAGGGTGCAACACCAACCAGATTTGGACCCAATCCTCTGAAGAGAGATTTTGGTCCCTCTTTCTCAAGAATTGACCTGATGAGTGTAGAGAGATTAAATGTAGACAAATAACAACTCATTATTATTATTGCAGTTAGATTACACAAAATCAATTTACAATCCAGTTACACAGCTTGTTTTGCACACTGCTGCAAAACTAGTGACACAGTTCATATTAATTTCCTTTATGATTCACCCATATGACCCCAAACCCTCCTTAGCAAACAATGTGATTCACTACTACTGTCTACATTCAGTATTTAGCTGCTTAGTCGCTTTCCCGAAGTGCTGTTTCTCATCACACGTTGATAATACATCACTTCCTACAAGGAAAAACAATTCAAACATTCTATATTTACTTCATCACTTGACTGAAAACAATGAAGAATGATTCACATGGCAAATGCTTCCTCATGAAGAATAAAAGGACAGACATGGTGTCATTTTTCCCAAGGTAGATATTGAACCTGTTCAAGTAAATTGAAATGTCACTACATATTGGAGTCACGTAGACCCGTACATTCAGTCAGAGACAGTTAGTCAGAGACATGTTTGCGGGTAGTAATTCGAGTACAGCAAGAAGGCATCATGTGACAGTGCTGGTTCCTGAGAGCCATGCTTTGCCTGACTACCCAAAATAGACATTCACAGAGAACACTTCTGAGCTCTTTTGCCTTTACATAATAAGGCCGTCAGCAACTGGCAGTTAAACACCCCCATATCATCATCCACAGCAGCAGCTAACAGCAGGATAAGAGTTGCTTTAATCTGCTTTCATGTAGAAGATCAAATGCAGTGCTAAATGCACACAAAAGAGGATCCGGATCTACTCTCCGGCACATTCATGTTTGGGGTGGATGACGATGTCATATTGTTTGTACTTTCTTGCTTACCGTAACACCTGTAGTAAGCCAGGGGTGACAGGTCCCGGTCTAATGACGCCAGCACCATTGAATGAGCCTAAATGGACCTGGAAAATAGGTCTGAGGGTGAGGCCAGATGACTGTAGTCTGGTTTTTAACACCTCCAGGGGACAGGTCATGATGGCACCTACAGTTCCACCACATCTGTAAACAAAGCAAAACAACTGTGACTGCTGGTTCTATATAAAAGTAAGATTTTTTTTTAATTACAGAAAGAAATTAAAGACATTTAAATACATTTTACACACTTATAATGGTACAAAAGATTTCTATTTCAAATAAATTTTCTTTTTAACTTTCTGCTCAAGGAATCTTCAAAGAAAAATCATGGTTTCCACAAAATTATGCAGCACAATTGTTCTTAATATAGACTTTATATATATATATATATATATAGTAATTTTTAATTCTTTAATTTTGATTAAGCAAATGCACCCGTGGTGAGCATAAGAGACTACTTTCAAAAACATTTTTAAAATTGTACCCACTCCAACCTTTTGAACGGTACTGTATATTAATTTATTTAGATTCTACATCTATAATACATTAAAAAACTTTAAATAATGTAAGTTGTAAGAATTTTGGAACATAAAAATTTGGTTGGGTTGTGGACCAAAAAAGGTTGAGGGCCTCCAGATTAGATACAGAGACAAAATTTGATCAAACCTGCAGTTACACTTGCTGTTTAAGGCAACAAATCCAGTTCAAACTAAACTTTAGAGGCAAATATGTGTGTGTGCGCGTCAGCAACGCTTGCGGACAACCTTCCGGGCTGTTGTAAGAGTCAAGAGTATAAAAGTGAGGTCAAGGAAAACAAACTGAACTTCATCAAAATGACACAATGTGACGCAGGTATTGATCGTTATTCACATTACAAAGTTACATAACTGGAGCTCTGCACTGTGATCAGGGTTCCTACAGGTACTGTAAAATTAAATTCCAGGACTTTCAAGGACTTTAAGCAGCACTACTTTTTTGGTTTTCAAGGACTACAATCAGATATCTCACTCAAACAATATCTTTGCTACCTACCTTTAGATTCTAAAGAAAAAAAAAAAAGGTAAATAACTAAATAAACCAATAAAACAAAATGGTACAAATAAAGTCCAGCACATGCAATGATTTGGGAAACTTTAATCATTGAAAGGATACTAAAGACAAAGATATCCTCCATTTCCTTATTCAAACTGATTTTTTTTCTTCTCATGAATATATGATTGACCTGAAGAATGAAAGCTGTATCATACTTGGATATTTAAAGGAGCAATATCACATTCTCTATATCTATATCAGAACGGCTGCGGCGTTAATTTAGCGTGAAAAGATTGTTTTATCGATAAAATTAAACACTAATTTCACATATATTGTTTTTCAATAATTCAAGCACTTTTCAAGTACCTTTTTATAAATATGGCTGTTTTCAAGGGTTTTCTAGGACTTCAATTTCAAAGCACCATGTACTGTATGAACCATGTGTGCTACCTGGCTCTAAAACCAAATAAAAGAAAACTCAGATGAGCCTGAACATGTAAAGAAATGAGAAAAGAAAGAAGAAGCTAACCAATAAAGCAGGGGAAAATATCCAGTCCAACCTGCAAGGCCATTTCATGAACAAAAACAATGTGCACAGTAATTGTACTTAATAACCTGGGGCCGGATTCACGAAACATTCTTAAGAAAAAAATTCTTCTTAAAGGCAGGGCAGTTTGTTACTAAAACGTCTAAAAAAAATTGTTTAAACTGTCTTTATATACCAATGCAATGATTGGCTGGGCGACTGTCACTCTCCCTCGCTACCATGGCAACCAACCCTGCTGCTACAGGAGCTGCCCACATGCGCGCACCCGGTTGACTCGCTCATTTCGAAAGAGGAGAGGCACGTACCGGCCGGAAGCTAGGAAGTCTCACAATTATGGCAGAGAAAGAGCAGTCAAAATTCCCAGTACCACCTGTACCGGCATATACAGTCAGCGCAGGCAAACAAGGCAAAAAAAGGTGATGTCACTCCATGCACTGCGCTCCTCTCCTCTCGGCGTGATGCCGACCGCTCAGCTGGAGGATGCGTTTACCAGCGCCGAGCGGTCGGCATCACGCGTTCATGTGTTTTGGGGGCGTGGCTTTGGAAGGAGCCCAGAAGGGAGGGGGTGGGAGTTTCTCTGTTGGATACTTTCAAAATCCAGCAGTTTTCTGCTAGTTTCTCTAACTTACCTACCCTGCCTTTAACTGCCAATTTCTTCTTATTTTCTAACTCAACCCTCTGGGGACTAAGCCCTTTTTGGTCCGTTTTCTCTATTTTTACATTTGGTCTTATAAACCATATGTAATGGAGATGGATCACTATGTGTTTGGTATCTATGGATTCAGAAGACCCTAAGATAACATAAGAATGCATGTAATGTGTTTATAAAGGAAGTATGAGTGAAAAATGTACTATAAACTAGAGAATTTCAAAAACGGAAATGAGATTTTTCTCATTTATTTCTGAAAATCACACATCACACAAAAATAGTGAACAGTTTTTGTACAAAAAATATATTTGTCAAAACCTTTGCTTGACAGACATGTGTAATTGTTAAATGTAAATAACAATGAAAAATGTAACTATTTAAAAATAGTCCCAGGCGTTTTTCTTAGGATTGCTTAGAATTTTCTAAGCAATGCCTTCTCCTCGTCACTCTCCAGTAATTGTTCCAGAGCTTGTTCCATCGTAAATCGTTTACTGCTTGCCATCATAAAAGTGCTAAAACAATAAATAATGCTAGAATTGTATGTATGTGTATATATATATATATATATATTATAATTGTTCTGTCTCTCTCTCGCTCTCATATAAATCTCTGATAATCCGCTCCTTAAACCTCCGTTCGCTCTCTCTCCTTCTCTCCATTCAACGCTGTTTGCGTCATATCCCTAACTATATAGTACCACCCCTTGCAAGGCTACAGAGTCCTCTGATTTGCTAGAAAGGTCATGGTAACCTTCCTCTGATTGGGTAAGAAAAATATTTCTCCATCGGCAATTTTTTAATTGGTTGTTGTTCGCGGAATCTGCCAAACAACATCGATTTCATTGGCCTTTTACATAGTGGTATTGCGCAACAAGGAAGTGTGTATATTTACAAAGCCGGGTATCACTGTTTTCAGCGGAATCTAAGGAAGATGGTAAAAAAGACCGCAGCTCTCTATCATTAATAGTTTTTAAGATAATTACACATTTGTAAAAGTATGCCATTTTGGGCGGTACCGCCCAATCCGTCCCCAGAGGGTTAAGATTGTATTTGTATTCCTCAAAAAATTTGTAACTTAAGAAGATTTCCGTGAATCCGGCCCCTACTGTGTAGCTTGTTTATTTCTAGTGAGACTCAAGGCAAATAAATTGTCATCACAGATTGTGTTTCACAGAAGTCAAACCATGTTGACACAGGTCACGGGATGTGCTGGAGAAGTACAGGGCATGTGAAGAGCACAATGCCTCTGACCTCAGCACAGAAAGTAAGGGACAGATTAACCACAAATCTGTCTGAGAAGCACATTCAGTTACAAGGGCAGACGTCCTCAACAAAAGCGTTAAGCCCAGCATTGATGCGAGTCTCCTCTACGCAGCTTGCCTTCTCATAAAGTGATCCAGTTCGCAGAACACCATGGGTAATGTTTTTATAACAGACCGTTTTGTAGCAGACAAACAAAGCTTGGGGCATGATTACATAATGCTCATAACGTGGTATAGCTGTTTGAATAAAACAAACACACAGATGTCTGTGCCCTTCAAAACTAGTCCCCTGAATTAATGTGTAATTGAGCTCAAAATTTTGTTAGATCTTTAACTGGCTTAAATTATTAACTTATTCTTCAGTTATATAACAGAAATTATAAGTGGCATCATGCAGAAGACGGATGTCCTAAAATCTTTCTATGCCTATCAAGCTTTCCACAATTAAAGGACCACATCTATGATCAGGGACTTTTCATGGATACTCAGAGATCTGCTACGGAAGTCATTGGAAATGTTTAGTATTTCAACAGCAAGAAAGATTTTTTTTTTTAAATTGTCATCTCTGCTTCTTTGCAACAATCACAATTTATAATGGTTTTATTTGTGCTGTAACTGTAAAAAAAATGTTTTCACCACTGTCACCTTTGGCTTGCTTAATCAAAACGTACTACATTCTGTAAAGCTGGTGTGTTTATTTTTTAGAATAAGTCATATTTATTATGAGCTATACAAATACATATTATATCATTAAAAATGCCATCATATAGTCTAACATTAAGAAGAAAAATATACACTCACTATAATACAAATTAAAATACTTTGAAAATAATTTTAATCATACGTTTTGCCTTCAGTACAATAAATAAAAGCCAATAATATTTTAATTCTGGGCAATATTTTGACTTTATAATATCACTTTATAATTTAACAAACTATATAAATTAGTCTGTATACATGAAAAACATATATAGCTGCCTTCACATTTTAGGAAGTGGTCCTAATATTTTGGGATTGTCAACGTTCAAGTTTTTGAAACCCCTTGATTTTTTCATTACTTTGCTGCAAATCTTAAAGTGCCAGCAGTTTCAGACCAGCACCGCCAGACCCGCAGCAACAGGATGGAAGTGAGCGGCAGCGCTTATACAGCTATTGGAGTTGCGCTGCCTATAGAGTGGTGCAGGTATGATGTAAATTTGTAGGGCAAAACGGGGAAGCTAGTAAGCATTTTAGCCCTTTCGGTTCCATCGTCCCAAAGTCAATGGGTTTTTTAAACTGGGTTTTGCTTAAATGGCTGAAAAAATGTCTATGGTGAACACAAGCTCAAGGCACTTTCACGTTTTATTCTATGACATAAAATACATCAGTTTTAGCTGTTACGCGTCTTGAAAAAGGCGGTTGCAAAAAAAGTGGCTTTTACAGCTTCATTGTGTTAATAATCGCGCTCTTACCAACTATTCTAACTCAAACTGTCTGGGAAACTGTTCTTTAGGTAAAAACAGAGTTGTCGGAAGCGTAGTGGTGATGATGTTGAAGTCGTGCGATCATGGTATAGTTTGTTTATAGCCTACCTTTAGCTTTTTACTCCTGGTGCCTATACATTTTGGCTTCAAAATTCATAAAAGTTGTGTTCATCTGTGAAAATTATCTTGATGAACAAAACATAAGTATCGTAAACTTTTGTTGATCACAGAGCTTGTTTTTTCTGTTAATCCAAAAGCATATGGAAAAATCTTACGAGTTTTTGTTGAGGGAACCAGTGATGCCTACAAAGTGACATTATACCTGCACCACTCTGATGTAACATGCAATGTTCTCTGAGCTGTTTTCACATGGATTTTGATCGTATTGATATCAACAATATTTAACAAGAATATTTTTAAATAAAGTCACTTTTCTGTTCATACAAGCATAGATATCATGATGATGTACAATGATAAATATTGTAAAACCTAGCCTATTAATCACATTAATATTAAAGGAAACAAACACAACCGCTTATTGTTTGTTTGTTCAATGATATAGGCTACAACTAGACAGCTTTTTTATTTAAAAAAAATATATACACGTCACATGCTGTAAAGTGTTTCCCTGCAGCTGCATACTTTTGGAGATCCAGCAAACAAGTGCACTTGAATTGTCCTTTTCAATAGCTGTCACACGTTCACCTACATTCATGGCTCTAGTATACATACATGCTTGACATGGGTATGAATCTCTCTGTCCTTGAAAGAGCCAAGCACTTCCACAGACACATTTTACCAAGAGCAAGTGACATTGAACAGCCTGCGCAAATGCAACGCATTTAAATGCGCACAAAACACCGATGATTCTCACACGTTATCATGCTATTGAGAAAGTGACACATACACAAGTGCAAAATAACAATAAATCAATATCAGTCGTACATGAGTAGTAAGTTAGAGGAGTACTGATATTAAATACGGGTTTGTTGTAGAAAAAATAATAGCGGAATGACCTTGGATATGTTCATGTAAAGCAAGGCGCTTCTATTTGATTATTCAAAGGGTGCTAAAGCAAAATAGCTCTGCAATGACGAACATTTAATTCTTTATTTCCTAACTCTACACTCCCCGGGCACATGTACATATTTCAGATTTTAATAGCAGCACATGAAGAGCTCGCGAGAGATGTTCTCGTCTCGTGTATAATGCCATAATTACGTAACGTTAACGCATCACTGACAGCCTAGACCGAAATAAAGTTTTAACCCTTCAGGCATCATTTTACAATAGTTAGTAAAATTATTATTATAATATATTATATTGATGTGACTTGAGCACTAAACCTGCTCGCGTATTTAAATTTAATATAAAACACGTCGGTCGCGTGACTGGATTCTGCTCTGGCTAGTTTCACCGCTAGCTAAAAGCTAACAAGAGCTTTCTTCATTTAAACTCGTCATCGAAATATCACAGAGGAGATATTAATAACAGACATACGATCTTTCTCTTTTGATATGAGTGTGACATTCAGTAAAAGCCACTGCAGTCCGCTTAAAGTTGCTTTCGACCTTCCAGCAACCATCATCCTCGTTTTCATATGGATAAAAAAAAATGTCATTTACACTCACCCCCCTGCGAAGAGATGTAACAACGTATCTTTTTGCGCCATTTCAAAGAGCCATTACACCTCACAAAAAAACGTTAGACTTTAAATAAAAACAAAATAAATGTAGTCACTTGGGCCAGCGGCCTGATGATGCTCCGCCACCGGCTTTTCTAGCTTTAAACCCGGATAACGACGAACCTGAGAAGTACCCTGACCACGTCATAGGGGCTGGACGGGGGTGTCGTCCATAACGTCACGCCATCGGTCCATCCCATAGACTGTAAAAAAAATAGGACCGTCCACAAATAAAACAACAAAAAACAAAACAAAAAAACACGTAAAATTAAACTGCTGCATAATATCATGCGTATCGTGATACAATATATAAAAGTTTAAACACGGAAAAATTGACACAGTCAAGAATTTTATAGATTGAATATATTTTTATTTAGTTTTGAATTTGTATTTTAACGTATTGTAGATATAATTGCAATTTATCATTCTATTATATTTTATTGTATTATATTCTAAAGGTTGTGGCTGTTATCAGTGTTTTTTTTTTTTTTTTTTTTTTTAAATACCTAGACAGGTGACATTAAAATATTTAATATAATAACCACTTGGGTGTCAATGAGCCATATAAGTTGTAAACTTTTGAAATAATGTCTATTTGGCTATTTACATTTTCAGCGAATTATTGACAGCTGAATGCAGCACATGAAGTTATTCAGTTACATAAAATATAAGTAATAATCACCTAACCTTCAGTTCTTCAAAATGAAGAAATATTGGAAAATACATGCTTGTTGATCAGCCACTGAAAAATCAGAAAAGGAATCAGCATAAATATGTGATGAAATATGTTATGTAAAACACCTAATGCCTAAATAGACAAGCTAAAATGATGGAGACTCCTGCAAAATATGTTGTTAATTTTGGAGCGAATGTGATACCATGTCCAGTACTCAGGCATGTAAAAAAATAATTGGACAGACAAGGTGCTTCGAGCAGAGCAGCCTATGAGAAGAGGGGGTGTGTGAGGGGAGGGATGTACACAATTCTAACCACTCACCTTTTAACTATGTAGGCTACTGATAAGTGGGTATTGAGGGTTGTTGACACTGGCCTGGCATGTTTGTAAATTACGCTGTCTTGGCAAAAAAAAAAAAAAACACTCACACACACACACACACACACACACACACACACACACACAGACTATCATCATCGTATTGAAGATACCCACTGGTTAATAATAAACCCCCTATAGAAAAACAACTAAAGTTCTCTATTGTTTTCATGTTAAGGGTTGACAGTAAATATTTAATGTAGACGTGTAGACATCCTGTGGGACTAGTTATTCTAGGTGTTTATTTACCTTTACAGATAGCGAAACTATCACCACTACTTCTGCACTTTTTGTCTTAATCTGTTGATCTGTTTATTTTATTTTATTTAAATGTCTTTTTATCTTTCAATTCTTATTTTAATGAGGGACATTTAATTCTAAAATAAATGTACTAAATTTAAACTCCTAAATATAAGACTTATAAAAACAATAAGATTATTATAAGATAATTATAGTTATTTTACAGTGATGACAGTTCTGTGGGGGTTTATGGTCACATGTCTTTTTTTGGCCACACAAATTTTAATGACAGGCAGTCTTGGCAAAACATAACATGGCTTGTTATGGCTTAAGATATTCACATGTGAGACAGCATGGAACTAATATTAGCTAAGCTGTTTATCTCTCCAGGGGAATATAAAATATAAATTGACTCAGATATCCTGGTCTTTGATTCTGTTCCAAATTCCTTCAGATTGTGTGAGTTCAGACAGTTCACAACCTTCATGTTCAGAGTTCCACATTTTGGATCAACCAAAGACAGGGCGCAACAGACCATTTGTATTGCATAACCAGGGAATGGTGCTACAGGATATGAGTTTCATGTTTAGGCCTATACAAAACAAGTGGCAATATTTATTCAAGAAACATCCAGTTGTTTACAACATTAAGGATCTTGTTTGATGATTGACATGTTCTTGAATATATGAAAATTTATTTCAATGCAAAAATGCCTAAAAATAGAAAAAAATAGCTTGATTATAAACAAACAAACGAAAGGATGGCATGTTTGACATTGTATCAGTAACTACAACAGCACAGTCTCAATAGCTAAAGATAGAAGTCCTCTTAGACATGCACAAAATAACAGAATAAAATAACTATAGACCAAAGACAAAAACAAAGGAAAACCGCACAGTATTTGTGATCAACTCTACGCTTTCAGATGGTTGGGAAACCACGCCATCCTTAGGAGAAACAAGTGAAATAGCAAGATGTCAGAAAGATACCCGTTTTAAAAAAAAATAATTAAAAAAATGCTTCATTGATTTAGAAATGGTTTTATAAAAACAAATCTAATTTCGATTGTTGTTGTTGTTGTGTTTTTCCTTTACTACAGATATTTGGGATATTGGGATATTTCATTCGTTTTTATCCACGCTAAGCAATGACAACGATACATTTCCGTTCATATTTTACCATATTTTGATGTGATGTTGTTTAAGCTTCGCAAAACAACCGTGCTGATATGATAATAGTCTTCAGTCTTAAATGAAATAGCTGATTTGACTCTAGGTCGGAACCCTTTGGAGGTGACATTTGTTGCAGGGGGAACCACAATAATTAAATGGACCGGAAGTAGATAGAGTCACATTGAACATTTTGAACTGGCGAGGTATGTAATCCGATGGGATTAATCTTTTAAACGATCATAAGTGTTGCCTACTTGTTTACAGGTGTATTAGTATCTTTATACTTATTAGGCTTGTGTTGCTTAATTTTTTTCCCAGCGATACTAACAGTTATCGTTTTAAGCTATGAAGCCAGCTAACTTAGTTGCTACTGGTTTGAATGAAAGACCTTCCTCTAGTGTGAACTGCATAGTGTTATGTAGAGTGTAGTATATTCTCAGTAAAAAAAATCATAAATTAATGCTTTGTAAAAAATAACCGTTTTTAAAGATGTAATGTGACCTTTATATATAGCAAAGAAAATGTTAGGCTACATTCTGTAAAAATCAACCCTGGGAACATAAAAGTGTCTGTGGTTGAAGAAACACTCATTTTGAAGCTACACAACTGTGGGTTTTGTATATTTTCAGTCCATGATGCTCTTGAGGGTGCAACAGCCATAGGACTATAAACCATGTTTCTTCCAAGGGTGGTTTCACGGCTGAACCGGCTTTCCCAAGTGTCTGGTAAGCTTATTAGATTGTGTACCAATAACACTTTTACATTTTTTTTTTATATAATTGTTGTACAATGTCCTATACTTTTTTTCAGGTTCATTGCAGAACCAGAGCCAGGTGTTATGCAGTGCTGTTCAACACTGTCGTTCTACCCGTTTCAGAACGCTTCACTATACAAATAGATGCTTCACTTCAGCTGCTGACAACAAACTTCCACCCAAACTATGGACACCTCTTGAGCCAGAGTTAGAGGAGGTTCTTGTACCCCGTAAACTATCAGTTTCACCATTGGAAAGCTGGCTTTCTCTGCGCTACTCTCTCCCCCCATTGCTGGAGGCCTCTCCGCCTCTGCAAGAAGGTGAGATTGTGGGAAAATCCATGGTGTTGCCTCCGTGTGCGCTGCCATTACTGGAGAATGGGGAGAGCCCAACACCACTGAACTGCAAGAATGTGCTGGAGATCCGACGAAGGAAGATGAACCGGCACAAATACAAGAAGCTGCTAAAACGGACCAAGTTCCTTAGGAGGAGGGTGAGAGATGTCAGGAGGAAGAAAAAACAGGTCAGTTATGTTACACATCTAGCTTGCAAAAAAAAAAATATATATATATATGGTATATATTGCAATTATTGCACGGTATAATTATACAGTTAACGTCTGTTACATATTAGAGTTTACATTTTACATTTAAGGTGCAGTGTGTATTTTTAAGCGACATCTAACGGTTCGGTTGCGAGTTGCAATAAGGGCTCAGCCCACTGCTCACCCCTCCCTTTCGAAGAAGCTACGGTGGCTAAAACGGGACAAACATATCGTCGTCTGAGACAGCAGAGAATAGCCAGAGAAAGCCAAGAGTGTGTATCATTGTCACTGTTTCTGTACCACAGTCCATTATAAACCACATCATGGATAAAGTTTACAAAGCCATAGTCAGGTGAGGATCAAGGGTCTTAATATATAATATAATAATAGTAATCAGCTGATTACCTATAATACAGCGAGGGAGAAGAACCACATGAAACTATGCAACTATATATTTTTTCTAACAGGGTAGTAAAAGTTTAGCTGGCTAATATGAGCTGTTACTGTGGCTGAGCTGGTTAAAGCGTAAAGCCTTGTTTAAACTCGACGCGTCCGCATGAGCGCAAAGGTGCGCGCGGCAAAAATGACATGATTGTAACAGCGCGCGCGCCTCCGCATCCCCTAGACACCACTTACTACACACAATAGGCTTTTTTTCTCTGATTTTGAAAACTCTTCGCGATCGACTTAAAATGCTTCCAAGATCGACTTGTCGACCGCGATCGACGGGTTTGTGATTCCTTTAACATACTGTTTTACGGTCAATGACAAGAGTACTAATCAGCTGTCTCACGAACGTAACCAGCACATTTATCCCAACATAGCAAAGCCATAACACAGCGAGGGAGAAGAACTAAGTTACATGAAACAATCCAACTACATATTTTACACAACTCACAAGGGAAAAGTCACTACTCACGGTGTCTATGGCTAGCTTCTAGCTTTCTGCTGGTTCTCTTTCAAGGTAGTGACGAAACGCGCTCTGTAGCGCTGTTTGTTCGCTGCCGGCTACGGTAGAAATATGACGTCACAATATGTCGACCTTAATAGAAGGGGGTGCCCGCGGTTATGTAGATATAAATGTCTCATTCTAAGGTAATAAAAACATTACGGTTTATTAAGTAAGTTCTTTATACACCACTGAAACCATAGTTATGTCATATTGCATTTCTGTTAATAGATACTCAAAAATTTTACACATTGCACCTTTAACAAGTGCTATAAGTATAAATGCATGCCATAACATTATAACATTTTTTTTACAGGCTAAGTTTGAGAGAGATCTTTCCCGAATCGTTAGACGAGCTGGACTGAAGAAAGCCCCAGATGAATGGACAGCACCCAAAGTCTATGTCAGACTGAGTCAGTCTAAAAGAAATGTGTAATTAACATCTGTGTCATTTTAAATATTTGTGACTTTTTTCATAATACTATTGACTATCAATACTGCATCGGGAGCAAAACAGTGACTTGAAATTCACAGACTCGTCATGCATATGTACTTAATACTGCAATAAAAAGTCCTCACCTCTCTGTGTTGTGCATTGTTTAAGAGCTCATATCCCCTTTTGTGAATGATTCAAATAGAACCCATCTCCGTTTTCTGAGCTGTGTTTTTTTCCCAATGTTTATTGTAGAATCTATATTCTCAAGTCACCACTAGGTTCAGGTTGACGCAAATCATCTCCGTGTCTACCTTTTTATTTTATTTTTCAGAAACCATATTCTCATATCACCACTAGGGTGAAGCAAATCATCTCTGTCTCTACTGCAGTATTTTTTTTTTATTATTAAATAAAATTGTTATTCTTTATTTTTTTTGCAATATTGTTCTGAGTCTCAGGACAGGCCTCATTCACACCAACTACTAAAATAATTTTTAAAAAGTATTGAAGACTTTAAAAATGTTCAGATATAATTTTAGTTAACTACAGGATTTTACTTATTTATAATTAATAATTTATTATAGCATTTTAACGTACCTGTTATATGTATTAAATACATATTTAAATAAATTAAAGTGCAAATATTCCAAGTAATATGAGGTAATAAATACTGCCAATATAATTAAATAGTTGCTTTTATATATGTATCAAAAATAGTCTAATACGTTTAGAAAAACATTTAGTTTATTTTTTGTTTGATATTTGTATTACTCGTATACATTTTTATTATGTAGATATGATGCTGCGTTCAGGTTTATTTTTTTATTTGAACTTTTTTTTTGCAAAACAGTTAAAGTCGGTGTAAATTTAAGAAATTTTTGCAGGTAATGTGAGAGAGTTTAGTATTTCATGATGTTTCATATTCTGGAGGAGGCGCATGTTAGTGGTCCAGACGAGCAGAAGGTTTTGTTTTCTGTCGCTGGTCGACTAAAAAACACGCTTTCATCGCGCACCAGATTTAACAATTTTCTTCAACTTTTCGGACATGTTTCTAGTGGCATTCAGTAAGTAGTTTTTTACTAATTTAACTAATTTGAACTTTTCCTTTTCGACATTTTCCTACACAACATTGAATATTGTCTTCTGGGTTGCATCCTTCATGGTAAATGTGGTATTGTACATCAACTTGTATCTATTACATTATTATTTTAAGTCTTGCAGAACGTCTCGTGCTGGCGTCCTGCCAACTCTTCGTTTTTTGTTTTGTCAGGTTATGTTTGTTGTTGTGTGTGTCAAATATGTAGCTATGTTATATGTCTGGCAGTACTGTTTAGATTAAAATCTTTTCGTTTGCTTTGTTTTTCTCCCTTTTTCAAACCCCCTCCCTCCCCCATCTCTTTAAATTGTACAGCTTGATCTGTTTTAAACATAGTGTGTGTGTGTGTTGTTGTGCTGTGTTAAATTAGAAGTTAACTCTGACTAAAGTCTGTCATATTTATTAGTCATGAAAGAGTCAGTGCCTGTGATTCTGCAGCATCAGCAATAGTAAACGATTATGTTGTTTTACTTCAATGTGTTTTAGTTTTCTGGTTTGTCAGGGAAAGTTAGCAGTGATTATTATATTTATGAATTCTCTTTTAATTCTGTTTAGTGTAAAACTGGACCTGGGAATAAACAACTTGAATAAGTTTAATATATCAATGATTGTGCTTTTGTTTTACAAAAAAATGACTATACTGTCATATGAATATTATTATTACTAGTAGTGTAATGTAGACTGAGACACTATATCACAACTAAAAAGAGGTTTGAGTCCACTTTAAAAGTTCAGGTACAAGTCAAAGCACAGACTTTTTCTTTGTCCACCCACCAGTTTCACAAAATCCTGTGGGAAACACTGTTTATACATAGGTATTCAGTTAATTGTACCCTTTTAATGTGGCAAGACACATCAGGGTTTAATGCTGCTTGTGTCTTCTTGTTTAGACACTGTAAAAAATGAACTAGCAATTCACGAATCGCTGTGTCATTGACCTTTTCTATTTCTTGGTAGATAGACAGGCAGACAGAAAAAAGACAGACAGACATATATATATATATATATATATATATAATATAGATAGATAGATAGATAGATAGATAGATAGATAGATAGATTATTTTCTTCTTAGACACATTTTGCTGTGTACTTTTAGAGGTGCTTGTTCAGATGCCTTCAGAAAATCAGTATTTATCTTCTGGGTTTCAGGGCTAACTGCTGGGAGGGAATGAATGGATCCTTTGTGCTCCTTTTTCTGCAAAATGTCTTTGTTTTGGCATAGCAGCAAATAAAACATTTAGTAATACGTCTTTTACGCTTAAGAACTACGTTTTAACATGTCTGTATTCACAATATGTGCCCTGATCGTTGCAAATAGCGATTTGAAGCAGATTTTGGTGGTTGAAACGCCAACAGGAGAGATGCCAAATTTCTATCTTTAGATGATCTCAGTAAATATGACTTACACCTTCAGTAATTCTAAGGCTTGTGTTCTTGTTCTCATTTCAGTCTGCACTGCCTTGATCTTACCATGTGGTGAGTGAGCAACAAAATATTAACAATATTTGATAGTAGTGCTCAAGTATTGTTTATATAAACCCAAATGAATAAAGCAATGTAATGGATGTGTACTTTTTTAGCCTGGGCACAAAACAGCCTGCCGAGTGTGGTTGTGGAGGCGAAGAACCTTACTCTTCCAGCCGGGTCAGATGTTGTTCTTCCGTGTCATAACCAGCGGATGGTTTGGAGGCAGGATCGCCTTCGGGACCGCCAGCGCGTCGTGCACTGGGACCTGATCCAGAACCAACCCGATTACACTGTGGAGCGCATTTTAGATATGTTCTCAGGGGGAACGGAGCGCTTGTACAACGACTACAACAGGGGCCGAATTACTATTTCAAAAGATGCCTTCAGCGATGGAAACTTCTCACTAGTTATTAATAGTAGGCTCATCTTTTTAGACCATGTCTATGTCCCTCTTTTGATTCTTTCACTTGTGATATTTAATACCTGTTATTTGTGTTGCTGTTTTGTTTGTGCAGATGTGGATGTGAATGATAAAGGTATCTATACCTGTAACCTACATCACCACTATTGCAAGGTCCACCAGTCCATTCAAATCCAGCTCAACATCACTAAATCACGTAAGAGAATAAGCCTGACATCTATATACTGAAAAACACAAGAATGGTAGCCTGTATCTGTCTCAAAATAAACAATTAAGAAATAAACAAAAGTGATTCCGACTTTCCATTTCATAACTGACTTTATTTCATGCATTTGAGACATTTTATTTCTCAGTTGTGACTTTATATCTTAGATTAGAACATGGCTATATCTCGCAGTGTGACTTTTTCTCAAAATTATGACTTTTATCTCACAATGTGACTTTATATCTGACCGTCTGACTTTATATTTTACAATGTGACTATCTCACAATTGCGTCTATCTTGCAATGTGACTATCTCACAATTGTGACTATCTTGCAATGTGACTTTATATCTCATAATTGTGACTTTTTTCTCACAATTTGACTTTATATCTCGCAGTGTGACTTTACATTTCACAACGTGACTTTTTAATATCACAACATGACCTTTTATCTCACAATGTGGCTTTATTTCACCTTTTTTATATTTTACTGGAAATGGGCTTCCATACTTCTAGGAATTTGGTCCATACTTCCGTGTCATTTCTGCGCCTCCAATGGAGTACAAAAATAATGATGAATTCCAAACATGTTTCCCGAATTTTAAACAAATGTTTTAATAAGTGCCACAGAGTGACAATGTTTTTCAGAGGAAATTAATCTGATAATGTATTTGTTGTACCTGTCTCTGCATTAACTGGAATAGGAAGTATTTTAAGTAGGCCTATAACATTGGAAAAAAGTTTTGCTTTAAATCACTATTATGAAACCTTGAGCTTTGAAAAAGCATATATTATTGATAATGTCAATCTCTGCAGCTCGAAAGGAAAAGCGTGTCTGGGATGGCGAGAAATCCGTGCTCGTGGTTCTGGTGGGGAAGAGTGTAGTGCTTCCGTGTGTGAACCGCAGACAATTGTGGACGGACAGTCAGAGGGACGAGGGCCAGCAGCAGGTGGTCCACTGGGACTGGCAGGCTCCTGGAGTCACCCGTGACCGAGCAGACCGCCTCGTCGACATGTATGCCTCTGGAGAAAACCGGCAGTACGGGCCGCTCTTTCTCCGGAATAAGATGAACATCTCAACTGATGCCTTCTCCATTGGGGATTTCTCCCTGAGCGTCCACAACATTCAGCCCTCTGATAAAGGCCTGTATTCCTGCCACCTTCACCATCACTATTGCGGCCTACATGAAAGACGAATCTTCAGGGTGATCGTCGGGCCTTCTATCCAGCCCTTGCCTCCTGCGCGCTCCTCTACTGAAGCACCGAAAACTCCTTCGCATCCTGTCCTTCCTGCTGATGCCCCAAGTAAGAGAATATTTTTATGTGATTGAAGCATTTTATTTGTTGCATCTTAGATTGTTTCAAATATCAACAAATTTTTATTTTTTATTTTAAATTGTCATTATTTACTCTAATTTTGTTCCAAACCGGTATGGTGTAAATTATTTTAATTTATTAGTCTTTGAAGAATTGTGATGCAGCTGTTGCCATTAAAGTGACCAAGGGTTGTCAAGATCCAATAAACATCACCATAAAAGTAGTCTATACAAATTGTGCAGTATATTCCAAGTCTTTCTGAAGTCATACGATAGCTTTGAACCAATGCCATTTTGGTGTCTATGATGTTGACAGACCATTTTTGGATCTGGAAGAAACCTAGATTTGAGGTGATTATTTATCAGTGAAGAAGGACTTATATTTTGGGCAGGAATATAATGCACATATTGAATGGATCACTTTTATGTGTTTTTTCCCTCTGTTTTTGGTCATTATGGACAGAAGTTGTATGGTTGCATGGATCTGGTTGCATGATGATTCTCTAAAAAAATTGTGCATCATTTCCTTTTGTGTTGCATGCCAGATCAAGGAATTAAAGAAAATTCATTTAGAAACAAAGCACTTTTCCTTTTCCTTGCTTGTATGCTTTCCACATGTATGTCTGGGTTCTCCTAATCAGCTCCATTGCTCCTCCCTTTACATGCAGATTTGGGGTTGGGGGAGGAATGTTGCTTGAGAACTGGGCTATATTTACTTCCTCCCCTTTTCTCTCTGTTTACTTTTTGCTGCTTGGTCTTCTCCAGTCTGCAGTCTGCGATCTCTCCATCTCTCTTTCTCTGTTTTTTTTTCTTCTTTTTTGAGCTATTTAAAATGGCTTTGTCCTTTAGTCTTTGTTCAGATCGACTCACTCCAGTCATTTTGGCTCTGTCCCTGCCGCTTGTGTTACAAAACTACATGAGTTTGTACGAGTGAATGTTTTTAACAGAAATGTAGGAGGTGGGGGAGGATTTATTGAAAGACTGCTTCATATTTCCTCTGCTAAGCAATGGCTGAGCTCACTTTATAAACTATTACAGCCCCACAAAAGGTCACAGCAACGTCTTGCTTTCTGCTGGGGTTTGCAGATTTTACCATCATTGCTCAGACAATATTCCCCATCTTGTATTGGCAATGGGCTTTTTTCCTGACATGAAAAGCCACATCTGTACAACATCTGGCCCGATGTAACATGAAAGCATAAAGGCGGAATGGTCCGTGTTAGAATTACATCTTCTTATGTCTGTAAAGTGTGAAAAAAAAATTCCCCAGTCCACTTTAAGTAGAAAAAGATGCCAGTCATCTATCTTATAGATTTAGTGTATTGCCTGAATTTAACCTTCTGGTAATTCTTAAATGTGATATATATGTATATACATATTTGTAAATATTACCAAATGTTCATATTTTGCTATGTATTTTTTTAACTAAAGACAATATTTAAAGATTAAATATCAATAATTTTACAAGATTTTAACTTGTCAGTTTTTTTTATTTATTTCACTTAACATTTGTGAAATACCTTTAAATATTGAATATATAATTATAAGCAATTAAAATAAATTAAATTAAATATTGCATTTTTTTTAAGGACGTAAAATATATTTTTTTTAACCTTACCAAAATCGTTAAAAAGCTGTAGCTGTAATCTAGAGGTTGGTGCACATGTAGCAATTTAACTGTGATGACTTTGGGGAAAGGCTAGGCTGTGAAGGATCCACTCGTTTATCTTTCGGGGCCCTGTAAACGAAGAACGCATTTGTAGGCCGCATTCGAAGGATTGGGATAGCCAATGTCACACTGCTGTGATGCATTCTGGGGCTTAGAAGTTGGAATGCAGCTTTTGAATCTTGCTTATGTTGTATCCCAATCCCACTTCTCCCCACTTTTTGTTGTTCTTTTTGGCTGTCCTATAAATAATGTACAAAATGTCAGTCTCTGATTTGTCAGTCTTCTGTGTTTTTAAATGTTAAACACTTCAGTTTTACACAATTATGACCAGTCTTAGCATGTCATTGAATTCCTCATTGCTCATTCCAATGAGACATACTGACTCATGAAGTAATCATAATGTCTGTTAGTTTTGGGGTAAACATGTTTTTTTGTGTTGTTAAAGGGATAGTTCACCCAAAAATTAAAACTATCCCATAATTTACTCACCCTCAAGCAATCCTAGGTGTATATGACTTTTTTCTTTTAGCCAAACACAATCGGAGTTTTGAACAAAAAATATATACTGGTTCTTTCAAGCCTTATAATGGGAGTGAATAGTAACTGAGATTTTAAAGCCCAAAAAAGAACATCCATCCATCTTAAAAGTAATCCATACTGCTTCATTGAGTTAATAAAGGCCATCTGATGTGATGCGTTTTGTAAGAAAAATATCCATATTTATAACTTTATAAACTAGAATCACTGGCTTCCGTACGCGAGTCTAGTTCCGTCCGAAGAGGGAACTCTGACCCCACGCATGATGTATTGACGAACACAAAAGCGCAGAGGATAGAGCAAAACAAAATACTGGTCACGAATTAGAAGTCTGAAATGAGAATTTTTAAAGAGAAATATCGGAGGAGCTTGAGTTTGTTGAAGCGCGAGAGTCGACTACTCCTATATCCCACGTCATACGCTGGAACTCGACTCTCTCGTGAACGCGCGGACGGATGTTACCGAAAGCTATTGATCACAGTTTATAAAGTTATGATTATGGATTTTTTTCTTACAAATACGCATCATTTCAGAAGGCCTTTATTAACCCCCTGGAGCCTTTTAGATTACTTTTATGATGGATGGATGCACTTTTTTGGGCTATATTTTGGCCAGGATATTTCTTTATACAACTACGATTGTGTTTGGCTGAAAGAAGAAATTCATACACACCTAGAATTATATGATAATTTTCATTTTTGGGTGAACTAACCCTTTAAGCCAAAAACAAGATTCCCAATACTATGTAACACACAAACAACAGTATCCAATGAGCTTGTTTGCTTTATTTGGTCTTAAGAGCACTACTGACATGCAATCCCAGAGACCGTGGCAGATACATCTAAATTCTCCCTGTTGTTGTGGGGCACTAAATAAATGGAAAATGTCTCCAGACAGACTGACCATGAAGTGGTGGTATTTCTCTCCGCCTGCACTATCGCTTTCTGTTCTGGTGGTTTGTGTTTTTTTTCTCCATTGCTGCAGCATGACATCAGGTCTGGAACTCATTATGCCTGTTTTGGCCATTCACATGAAACCTTGTCCTTCTCCCTTCTCGCCTGCTAAGCCTGGGTGAAAAGGGAAAAACAAACAAGTAATTTAGGCTTTTCTGCTTTGTTTCTTGGCTCTTAGTACAGGATAAAATAATGAAGTGTTTTAATATCAGATATTTAAGAGTTCTCATACATCTGGTCCTCTCATGTTCCCATTTTGTCCCTGGTAAGCAGTTACAAACATGGTGGAAGCACCTCACGTCCTCAATGTAATCCTGCCTGAGAATCAAACTCATCTCCTGCACCAAGTGGGCTACATCTTGGCAATCTTCCTGCTGCTTCTCTTAATGCTCATTGGCATCATTATGACCACGAGGCACTGCAGAAAGAAAGGTAGGGTCATGTGGAAAATTTTATAAACAAGAAAAAGAAACCAATGTGGCTTTTTAGTCAAACTGCAAACTGCCTGAATAAAATTAATACCTTAGAGATTATAGGCTTGGATCTTACTGAAATTTCTTTTGACCTTTGATGTAATATCTGTTTCAGGGCTTGAGTTTGAGGTTCGAAGGTCTGAGCGGTAAGAATTGAAAATAGACTATTAAACCTCTCCAGTGTTTTTGATTAAAGTAAGACCCACAATAATCATTTTACACTTGCTAATACATGAAACGCATAACGTTTGTTTTACTTGGAAGTGGTCGCAGGACGTCCATTGAGCTCGATGCCACAGAACTGCAACCCTACAATCAGGAAGACTTGCGACTGGGTAAGCACAACCTCATTTTTTCCATCATTTTTCAAACTGTTTTACTTAAAGGGATAGTTTACCCAAAAATAAAAATTCTGTCATCATTTACTCACCCTCAAGTTGTTTCAAATCTGTATGAATCTGCTGAATACAAAAGAAGATATTTTGATGAATATGGGTAACCAAACAGTTGATGAGCCCCATTGACTTCCATAGTAGAAAAATACTATGGAAGTCAATGGGGCCCATCAACTTTTTTGGGTGAACTATCCCTTTAAAGCCGTAGTAGAACATTTAGAAATCGTCTTTTTTTTTCTTCTAATACTTGCAAAATCACCATAACAGTTACTCTGTAAAATCTAGGGGAATGTGATCTGGTGTTTCTGCAAGAAACATATTTTTCAATATTCTCAAGAACAATGACTACATTGTGTTACGACCCTATGGTCGTAACAAAAAGAAAATAATGGCGTCGAGCTCCCTACTTTCCCAAAAATCAATCAGTATTTACAATATATACAGCCAGGCAAACAAACTGAAAAGGGCAGTCCAAATCAGTGTCGGTAAACAGGCAAAGGGTCAAATATACCAATGAGGATATTCAGATACAAACAGCTTTCAAAACAAATAAACAAACAGTATTCACAGATCATAATCCACTTGTCTTTTTGCAGCGTATGTGTAATAAAAACCAGAGACTTATGCGTTGGGCACTCATTTGTCAAAGTTTTAATTTGCACATTAAGTATAAGAAAGGTGTTGAAAATGTAATTGCAGACTCTTTGTCCAGATGTCATTTGTAAACTTGTAACCATGTTTACTCATATGTGTGGGGGTGTTACGACCCTATGGTTTGTATTTTGTTATCTCTGTTGTTTTGTCAGTCTCTCAGTGTGTCTGTTTAGGAACGTCATCTGATTGGTTCCTGCAGGATGATTGGAACGCCCATCTGATTGGTTCCTGCACGATGATTGCTGCTCGATCCTGATTGGTGCAGCTTGTTTTAAAAAGAGACATCACTTCCTTTACAGGAAGTCGGGAGATATTGTGTTTTGAGCAGAGAGAGAGTTTGTGATTTGAATGTTAAGAGTTTTGAGACTGAGTAGCTTTTTGTTTGTTTGTTTGATTTGAAAGAGAAAGTTTGTGATTTGAGACTGTTAAGAGTATTGAGACTGTGAGTACTGTTTGTTTATTTTTTTTGAAAGCTGTTTGTATCTGTATATCCTCATTGGTATATTTGACCCTTTGCCTGTTTACCGACACTGATTTGGACTGCCCTTTTCAGTTTGTTTGCCTGGCTGTATATATTGTAAATACTGATTGATTTTTGGGAAAGTAGGGAGCTCGACGCCATTATTTTCTTTATTGTAAACTGTTTTCTCTGTTTTTGGTTAGGGAGATAGGTTTATTGATTGTATCTTCATTTTTCTTTTCTTTTGGGTTAGGGTTTAGGAAAGAGGTTTAAATTTAAGGTTGTTTTGTTTGTTATTTTGGCTTTGTCAGCTCCTGAATCGTAAGTCCCAAATTAAGAAAAATAAATAACTTTTGTTCCAATTCCTCGCTTTTCGTTGACTCTTTCATGTTGCCCCTTTTCCCCTAGACGGGGTGTAACAATTGACATTAGACTTTTTTAATTGGTTGATTATTGTTTTAAAAAAAGGGATTTTACAGTGAAATATCCTTTTTTTTAGAGCCGAGTGTCCCACATCTGACATACACATGCTGTATTAATAAGTCTGATTTATCACACTTTTTCATAATATCTTCATATTTACATCAGCTTTTATTGATGAAATCCTTGTTTTTTTCTTCTTTAGACTACAAGAACAACATAATGAAAGGAAGGGCAGAGGCAAACAACTATCCCTCTTCAAAAGTTATTGATCTCAACAGAGGTAATGTGGTCTCAATTAGTCAGTCTCATTCCGGACAGATGAATTGTGATGTATTTACACAAACTTTCTCTTTCTTCCTCTCTCTCTCCCAAAGAAATGGAGAGAATGTCATGGAAGTGATTCTTATTGAGCTGCTGGCTGGTCCAGAGTATACTGATTGAAAAGAGATTCAAGGATTTTACATTTACATTGAGAACAAGAATGGAATTACTGTCTTTCTACATCATAATTAATGCTTACATGATCTTATAATACTCAAATTCAGTTGATATTGGTAAGTCAATTTAAGTGAAATCATTTTCTTATCATAACCGCAGTGTGCCATAATGGTTTCACAATGGTAATCCATTGAATTAAAGTTAAGACAATTTGCTGAATTCAGCATTTGGTGGTACTCTAAAAGTTTGTGTGGTAGAAACCACTGTAAGTGTCTGAATCTGAATAGAAATCACTTATAAAACTCAGGAAGCAAACAAATAGCTGTGGCTTCAGGTCTAAATAGTCAAAGATGGTGCACAAGTGAACCTCAAAGTCAATTAAATGTATTGTTTGTGCTATGCTGATGTGTATCTATATGTTACTTTTCTGAGGAATTTTGAGTCCTATTGACCAGGACTTCTTTGGTCCATTATCTTTTTTCATTCTTTGTTTCACGGCATTATGTAGAGGACAAAGTTGCAGTTTATTACAGTTAATGCAATATGAGCATTTTTCGTCACCATTTTTCCTATTTCCTTGGTCAGTAATTCTCATTTACATAGGGTATGAAGCATTTATGCAGTAGTTTTCAAATGATCTGGAGTGTACATTTATCTTTAAAGTGGCAGTACATGATCATGTTTGTATAGAGGACCAATGTACAAATATAATAAAGTTTATTCTGAAATATTTTGTGTAATTAAGATTCAATCTTTCTATAGCTACATTATCTCCCTTATCTTTTTGTCAAAGTGCCCAGGAATAAATGTTAAGATCCACTGTTACTATTTTAATCTCACCTTAACTTAACTGATATCATATCAGTATTTTGTAAAAACTTTTGATTTACCAGCCTTATGTAACTTATGTTAAATAAAACTATGCAATTATTTATACTACTACTAATAATATACAGTATACTGTAGGTTTTACATTTATAGAATGTTATCCAAAAATCCAGTGTTTGAATATACTTGTAATGAAAATCTTTGCTCTAACCCATAATTGTGGAACACAGCAATTTGACTGCAATTATTTAGTGTGTACATTTTGAGAAGTGCATTACAGGAGGCAAATATTTATGTACAAACTGAGCAAAGAGGAACGAATGTCCCTTGCAAAAAGATGTTTTGATTGATTAAATCTTGATTTGATTGACACAGCCAATCAGAATACTGCACCCCACAGGTTCAATACGTACAGTAAACTCAATGTAATTGTCATGTGCAGTGGGCAAAGTGTGAGTTGTAGAATGTGAGTATTGAGTTCAGCCAGATTCTTTCATTCTATTTTACTCAGACTCGGGCCTGGTGTTTGTATCACTTTTGGCAGGCCTGCCATGTTTTGTATGCGTTTCCTAAACAATCACCAAATAACTTCAGGAATACAGGAAGGACAGAGCTGCCCCCTGCTGTTAAAAATATATAACGACCCAAATGTCTGAAACTGGAGATACTTTCATGCTCACAAAACTACAGAACATTGTACTTTTGTGTAGTTTCATTGCACTTTTCTGTCTTATGAGCATGTTCTCTTTATAAGGACGTGCTGTGAGTTGGCGGCTGCAAACAACATGCAATAAATTGGCCAAAATATTAGATAATACGGTAACACTTTACAATAAGTAACTAACATGAACTAACAATGAGCAATACATTTGATACAGTATTTGTTAATCTTTGTTAGTGTTAGTTAATAAAAATACAGCTATTCATTGTTTGTTCATGTTAGTTCACAGTGCATTAATTTATGTTAACAATACAACCTTTGATTTTAATAACGTATTAGTAAATGTTGAAATTAATATTAACTAAGATTAATAAATGCTGAAGATGTATTGTTCATTCTTAGTTCATGTTAAGTAAGGTAGTTGACTAACGAACCTTATAAAGTGTTACTGATAATAGTGTTCATTATTAACTGCTCCTTTTTCCTGCATTAATGGAGACTTCTTTTATTTAGGCCTGCTTCTTTGGCATTTATTAATGTGGCATATTAAATGTAAATATACTGTATATTGTATATTGATTGTAGTATTAGATGTTGTTGTGGCTTTGGCACTTTCATACAGGGTTCAAAAGTTTCCTTTTTTACCTTTTCCAATAAATGGTTAGCGAAAAGAGGCTTAATCACCATTCTCAGAAGATCATATATTTATAGAAATATAATCTAAAATTGTAATAGTTATATATTTATTTTATGCTCTTTTAATTCATTTTTATATTTCTATGTTCTATTCAAATACAGTATTAAATTTGTAATGAAATAAAAATAAAATAAATAAAATAAAAAGTCTAATTCATTTTGGGAATGTTCTGACGATTGTTAGTTTTAGAAACTGATGTGATGATAAGGTGTTTCTCATCAGGTGGAAATTCAAATATTTATATTTGATTTAATTAATAAAATTGCTTGTTATTCTATTCATAAAGTCAAATGGAATGGAAAATGCCTATGTTTGAACAATTTACATTAAGACATATTTGGGAACAATATGAAAAAGAAAAAAACGTACAATCTATGCAAATTATGCACCTGCTGAATAGCAACTAAACATTATACATATTAGTTTTTTTTTTCTTTCTTTTCTCTAGAAACCCCTCACGTATTCTTGTTTGTACAATTTGCTTGGCTCTCAATAATAAATAAATAAACAAACAAACATTTCTTTGGTGCCTGATATCTAAATCTATAACAACGATGACCGTAGGTCTTTATTGTCAGTGTACCGTCCCATACAGACAACAATTTTGTTTCCTAAAGCGTTTGAAAACGAAGCGTTGTATAGCCTAAACTTATATGTAAGAACTATGAGATACAGGCCTGGTTTCACAGACAGGGCTTAGATTAAGCCAGGATTAGACCGGAGCCTATTCAATCAGGGCATAGCTTTAATGAACGTGCCTTAGAAAAAATCTTTACTAGTGTGCATCTTGAGACAATATGCCAGTGCAAGTTGCTTTCAGTTAAAAAAATGCATTTTAGTCTGGGACTAGCTCAAGCCTAGTCTGTGATGTGAAACCGGGGTTCAGTGTTTTAACAGCTGTTGGTTTAGCAGAGCCACAGCAGCTCGGTGGTTTGTCTGTCACGGACTCTGACTGCCGCTAGAGAGCAGCCTACCTCCACTAGAAACCTGAAATGGTAAAATATCCTGAACTCCAGCTCATGGGGATGTGAACCGTCCCTTCCTGTTTTACTGGCGATCAGAGAGAAACATTGACGCCGTGATAGAGACACGCAAGCTTCGATAATGTCTGGAACCGCTCGCTCCGTCCAAGACCAGGATTTTTGTTTGCCTACGTGAAACCGGCAACCAGCAATGTCGCCTTATAACGCATATATGACACTTGACGAGTTATAGTGTACAAATATATTTTGTATCGCGCTGCTGCTACCCTTGCTCCTTCTTCTGTCAATGATTGTCCTACCCATATAAGCCTACTCATGGCGGAGACCAAAATTATATACCATATCGACGAAGAAGAAACCCCTTATTTAGTGAAACTGACGGTTTCTCCGGAAAAAGTCACGTTGGCGGATTTTAAAAATGTCCTTAATAACCGTCCGGTCAACAGTTATAAATTCTTTTTCAAATCTATGGATCAGGATTTCGGGTAAGTAGGTGGAATTATGATTTGCTCATATTGTTGTGTGTGTTCGTTGCCTATTCAACAACCACGATCACACCCATCATCGACACAGGATTTTGGCAGCCACATGCCTTATAGACGCTGTCAAACCTGGAAAGCGTTTAGAACGTTTGTTTTTTCGTTGTGACGTTGTTACATTGTTGCTGCTGGCACCTGCTTTGAACCCATGTTCTAAAGTGCGCGTTCCTGCGCGGGTGCGTGTGCTCGACTCAGAAGTCAGAACCCACCACCACTGTGGCAAGCCGCTATAGCATTTATGTGCCCTTCTAGTGGAGTCGGAAATATCGTAAGAGTTTCGATCACAGGACTACAAAGTAAAGTTGTATTTACAAGTGGAAAACTCTGAATTCTACATGATACACGAGCTGCTGAGTTGAAACATTGCAAGGGGCTTGTCGATTTGAAACATGGCAGGAATATTGATCTGCAATATAAATAATATTATGTATGGTGGTATGGATGAATTCTGTGATACTATGATAGAAATTAAAATCATTCATTTTGAACTGAGGTGTAGTTATTTGGCTTTACTGTTCACAATATAATTCTTTGTGCACTTGAAGCCAGCATCCTTATAGCATTTTCATTGTTAAAAGTAGCCTACCGTATTTAATTAGGCTACTATAAGTAATCCAATATTGTCTAGTATCTTTTCAATTTTAATATTTATTGGATACAAGTAGGCCCAGTGATTAGTATTTCATAGGGCTGTCACGATGTTAGATTTTTCACACCACGGTTATTTTGGCCAAAATAATTCACGATATCGATATATCGCGATATCTATAGAAACCTTGGGGGGAAAAATGTCAAATCAGTCAAATTAATTTTTACTTTGTTTATTTAATTTTTCTTTTTTTGCATTTTTACTTCTTGCGTTCTTATATTTGAATGCATATTTTTGTGAAGTAAGACAAGCATGTGAAGTATATTTGGTTTCAAACTGGAGCGAAACACTGTCTGAATGTTTCCTGAAGAACTGAAAAGCTCTTAAACCTATTGTTGCGCCGGTGCAAGTCATGCAGATTTGAACAAAACAAATCAAGTGCAAATACAAAAATAAGACGAGTAAAGAAAACGGGGTACTTAATAATCACCCTTTATTTAAACATATGAAAACAAAAACCCGCTGTTAACAGGTTAATGTCACATTTCCCATTCCATGACTAGTAAAATAATCGCAATTTACTCTCTGTAAAATAGCGTAATCCGCAGGGTGATGGACACGGAGATGGGTAAAAAGATTGGTGGCTACACATTCTGCAGATTGGGCTTAAGGGGGGTCGCACACCGGACGAGAAGCGCAGCTCCGCCCCGCGCCGCGTGCAGCACACCTGACGCGCACTTTCTCAGTTCATGGCCAGCAATATTGTTATGTTTAAGGACATTATGAAATTAAGATCATGTCTGTACTATGTTATGATTGTACTGTACAATTAAATACAATCGTTGCTAAGTCTGCAGTCTGAACACTTTACCTCAGTCAGAGCGCATCCGTTTACTGAATGATTTGAGAATCTCACCTGAAAATCCGAGCCATTGCTGTGCGTCGCGGACAGACGCCGGTGGTGTGTGTAAACTCCTAGAAAATAATGTGTTCGAATTTTAAAGAATTCTCTGCGCTTCTCGTCCGGTGTGCGACCCCCTTTAAAGTGCTGTTTTCTTTGAAGCCGAAGAACTCCCATACCAGAGTGGCTGCGCGGGCGCGCGCTGCGTCTTCTTTTCATTTGATGTCAGCGGGTGCAATAGAGGGAATGCGTATGACGTCACCGTCAGCTGGAGTGATTGCGGTCACGCACACTGAGTGGCAGAAAGACTGAGCGGCAGCATTGGTTTTCAGCGTGAATGCCGTGAAAAACACAAAAAACACATCTAAAATGGGAAAGAGCTTTGCGATTGACTGTACAACTACATTTCACAAGAAATCTGAGGTATATTTTTACAGACTGCCAAAAGCTACAGAACAGAGAAGAAAATGGATCGATGCAATTCATAGAAACAACTTGACTCCAGGCAGAGAAAAGTGGATTTGCAGTTATC